CTACAGGGCCACAGTTTTAAACCAGCCACTCCAACAAGCACGTCTTGAAGCTTTTGCCGGGCACCCATCCATCCTCCCTCATAATCAGATCCTCCTTGTGGAGTCCAATCAACCTGCCACTGTCCTAATCAGAATTCCCCGACTCAATGGGCTTTGGAGGGAACCTCCTCGTTGTCCCAGTTGCTTCCCTAGCAGCCAAAGTCAGCTTAGCCCAGATGGGGCCCTCTCCCAGCTATTTGATCGCCGACTGGAGGTACAGATCAAGGTTAATAGGATTGGAATTCAACATGTGCGCTTTGACTGCGTCTCATGCAGTCGTCACTGGTATGCAGACCAAGAGTCATGGTGGTCACTGGAGATGGAAGGGAGTGGATGGCAGCGCCAGCATTGGATTGTCCCATACCCTTTTGGGGATTGGGTGTTGGTTCCTCCCAAAAACAAGTCGTAGCTTCTTTGTCGTAGAAGGGTTTCATTCAGCCTTTTAATTTTCCTCCCACCCCATTGCATACTAGAAAGGTTGCTTCGCAACCGTGACCTTGCTTGTGCAAAATTATATGGCCTCATGAGTTGAAAGAGTGGTGAAAGTTATGTATTGGATCATATATTCCCACCTTACTTTTGGCGCTTCACAGGCGACAAAGATGAACCGGAGAATAGGCACTTCAAGGGTGAACAGCCATCTGTGCAGCTGCTAACAAGAGGGGCTTATGTTTTAAGTGTTGACTAAGTACCAGCGATCTGGGAAGAGGTACATGAGGGAAAAAAGGGTACCAGTATGCATCTAGAATGCCTCAGTACGTGAATGACGCTTGGGGAGGGACTAGAGCGTGTTTCTAGGAATGCACATGCATGAATTCCGCATAAGTACGGCCTAATCAACATAGGTACGCATTTTGAGAGTTGCGCGCATGTGGGTTGCATGTGGGAAAGGTACCTAGGGTGTAAAAAACGCATCTGGTTGAATCTTCTACCTCCCTGCCCCTGTCGAATCTAAGCTCTCCATAATTTCCAAGCACCAAATCACTAACGAAAGCCGCACGCAGTGTGTGAACCCAGAAAGCAAGACCCAATTTACTTGCATCTTTCCACGCCAGAATATATCTTCCGCACTCCAAGATTTGGCAACTCTCCGTTCTCGTGACAGCCCGAATGTTGGGCATCAAGTCAGACAAATTCTCGAGAATCACGAAAATGTTGCAATAATGGAAGTTGCTAGCAGGAAACATTCTTCTGAGTTGATCCAGGGTGGAGCTTCCCCTGAGAACCCCCAATTCCACGTGCGTTCCCCTCGATATCTAGTTCTAGCTAATCACTGAGGAACTAGGCCGAACCATGACCACTCATCCCCATCATGAGTCTTGCAGAACTGACGAAGTCCAGTCTTACTCCCAAAAACCCTGCAGGCCTGCCAGCCCCTTTTCATTTCTTATGTGTCGCCATTGGCGGATTCAACGATGGACTGGTTGCCTTAAGCGTTTGCTCTTCCTTACCTGTATCTTTCTTGCGTCTTTCTTGCGTCTTTCTTTCAGCGCTCCCTCCGCCTTCCCCTTTCGCCTCCTGTATTTCTGGAGCACTCCAAAAGAATTGAAGTCTCACTGGAGTGTGTCACCTCTAGGAACGAGAACCCACCTTTCCATGGTCTAGAGGCTCCCCCGGCGCCCAATGTGGTTAGCTGGTTATGGGTCTACCTGCTGCGATGGCTAACGGCGTAGATGGCACTCACATGTTAAGTTATCCTGCGTCAGCTCTTTCTCATCTTTCTGTGCCGCCTTCCTACCTTCTTGCCTGCAGCGTTTTGGCCTACTTTTACCTCCCATCCGAACCATCAGCGAAAACGTTGGGGGGTCTCTAGAACACGTGGCTCCCGCATGGGCATCTAACGGTTTTAGCCGCCCCGTTACACTCCAAAAGATCAAGAGGCACACAGTACTGCATCTGGCCAACAATTTTAGGAGCGGCCACACCCCCGCTGCGATACTCCAAAGCATCAAGAGGCACGCCCCATGCATTTGGCCAACAATTATTCTCGGAGCCGGCACCTGTATCACCCAACCCCGTACACTCCCCCCCGGAAATGGTCTAGATTCCGAACCCATGCAACCCTATGCTTTAATTTCTCTACTAGCAAGGGCCTTTGGTGCGAGTGCGAGTTCAGTTTTCGTTCCAAGATTCCCCCCATTCGCTCGGGCACGGAGTTCCTCGGTTTCCTCAGTTTGTCGAGGTCCCAGCTCATCCTTCTTTTCCATCTCCACTAATATGGGTGGGATGATCAGAAAGGGAAATCGTGAGAAGCATTGACATTGAAGTGAGGACATAATTGCTCCAGCGATTCTGACCATATTAGATATGCTTGTCACAGCGTGGTGAATCAATCAATGGCGCTCCGGTGTCTGCGTTTCTTCTGCCATTGTCTGCTGTCCGGAACGTGTCCCGTGTGTTCATTCCAGTCTGATTATGTGGTCTTCTGCGTTTGTGGACTGTTCAAAAGGGATTCACATGTTCGCATTATACGATCATTGTCATGGTTCAATGTAAGGACTGGCAATGTGTATCCACACATTGTCTGTCCTTCTCTTAGTTTACATCAAGCACGACTGTAGTCGCGCTGCAGTACATTACCATCCATGTATTATATTAAGCCGCATTACCTCATGTATTTACATGTATATAAGATGCGCGGGTAGGAGAAAAGGCAACTTAGCCTTTACTCCCCAATATAGCATATTACGGCGTGTTTGTGAGACGGACTGGGAGTGAGGCGTTCATAAGCGTGAGCTTGCATTTAAGTACGCATAGATGAACAAGAACGACGAGCGGACTGCTGATCGGTAATTGACAGCGTGGTAAAGGTGGCGATGAGAATCGAGACATCAGGAGGCAGCCTGGCTGGGGTGAGAAGAGTGGCGAGTTCTGCCACGTCAGGCGGCACCCACCAGTTATATATAAACTAGGATCCTCCCGATGATAGACAAGATTAGCGCCGTCCTCGATCACCGTCCTCGATCATAGGCGATAAACATCATCTGCATGCTCTCAAACTGAGGCCAGCATGACCGAGTAAGGCACCGTGCCCTACAGGCTCTGCATTACCATCGAGTGGTCCTTTTCGCCAGAGCACTTAGTGTTCGAACTTATGATTTATGCTCCATACTTTTACCCTTGTGCTTACGGTGTCACCTTCGGCCAGTATGAAGATGGCTGGGATGGACATGTGCCCATTGATAACTTTGGTGACGAAAGGGTCTCTCGTATGATGCACAAGAGTTCTGTTGACAGCGTTCAGAATGAATTCTATGCACATAGTGCCTCAGTTGATGTCCTGAACCTCATCAATCGGGTGAATTGGAGGCCTGCACTTAATAAATGACCTCTACTGGTGCCGCCCAGTGTCATTACTAATTCCTGGCGAACCCCTAGATGTCTCGTGCCGCCGGGGGCAGCAAGTACTGGGGCAGATGGGGACTGTTCCCATCAAGGCCCCGTTGGGGAGCACTGGGAAACTAAGAACCTCAATCAAATGCGAGCCACGTACCATTCAGCCACTACAGAGTGACCAACACTTGTTGAGTGGAAACGTTTTGACGTCTCCAGCATATGCCTGCTATGAGCCTTCTAATGTCATCCACATTATCGACAGAATGGTCGCATCATTGGAGGACTGGCTAGGGTGAAGATGACGTGAGGGTGACAGCGAAGCAGCAGGAGGGGAAAGCATCGCCCGTCGCCTCTCGTCACTGAAATGAGCAGTCCAAGATGCTGTCGGCAACTCTCAGTTGGAGATGTTGCATTCCAGTGACGGTTTATTGTTGAGGACCGATTTTCCTGAGATTTGAGTGAAGGTGGAGACACAAAGCGTCCCAAAGGCCACGTCCATCGCCACTGGAGTAGGTCCAAGATGCTCTCCAAACTCTCTGTTGGAGATGATGCGTTTCAGTGACGATCGAGCGCCAGATGAGGCGACCGAATTGGTGCATCGTTGAGAGACTAAGTTCTTTTGAGACCGGAGAAGGTGACCACATCCATTGCAACTCTCTGTTGGAGATGATGCGTTCCAGTGACGATCGGCGCCAGATGACGACCGAATGGTGCCTTGTTTGTTGATGGACTAAGTTCTTTCGAGGCCAGAGAAGGTGGCCACATCCATTGCCCCTCACCACTGAAGTGAGCAGGTCCAAAGACGCTGTCCGCAACTCTCTGTTGGAGATGATGCGTTCCAGTGACGATCGGTGCCAGATGAGACGACCGAATGATGCCTTGTTTGTTGATGGACTTCTTTCGAGGCCGGAGGTGGCCACATCCATTGCCTCTCGCCACTGAAGTGAGCAGGTCCAAAGACGCTGTCCGCAACTCTCTGTTGGAGATGATGCGTTCCAGTGACGATCAGCACCAGATGAGACGACCGAATGGTGCCTTGTTTGTTGATGGACTAAGTTCTTTTGAGGCCGGAGAAGGTGGCCACATCCATTACCTCTCACCACTGAAGTGAGCAGGTCCAAAGACGCTGTCCGCAACTCTCTGTTGGAGATGATGCGTTCCAGTGACGATCGGCGCCAGATGAGACGACCGAATGATGCCTTGTTTGTTGGTGGACTAAGTTCTTTCGAGGCCGGAGGTGGCCACATCCATTGCCTCTCGCCACTGAAGTGAGCAGGTCCAAGGACGCTGTCCGCAACTCTCTGTTGGAGATGATGCGTTCCAGTGACGATCAGCGCCAGATGAGACGACCGAATGGTGCCTTGTTTGTTGATGGACTAAGTTCTTTCGAGGCCGGAGAAGGTGGCCACATCCATTGCCTCTCGCCACTGAAGTGAGCAGGTCCAAAGACGCTGTCCGCAACTCTCTGTTGGAGATGATGCGTTCCAGTGACGATCGGTGCCAGATGAGACGACCGAATGATGCCTTGTTTGTTGATGGACTTCTTTCGAGGCCGGAGGTGGCCACATCCATTGCCTCTCGCCACTGAAGTGAGCAGGTCCAAAGACGCTGTCCGCAACTCTCTGTTGGAGATGATGCGTTCCAGTGACGATCGGTGCCAGATGAGACGACCGAATGATGCCTTGTTTGTTGATGGACTAAGTTCTTTTGAGGCCGGAGAAGGTGGCCACATCCATTGCCTCTCGCCACTGAAGTGAGCAGGTCCAAAGACGCTGTCCGCAACTCTCTGTTGGAGATGATGCGTTCCAGTGACGATCGGCGCCAGATGAGACGACCGAATGATGCCTTGTTTGTTGGTGGACTAAGTTCTTTCGAGGCCGGAGGTGGCCACATCCATTGCCTCTCGCCACTGAAGTGAGCAGGTCCAAGGACGCTGTCCGCAACTCTCTGTTGGAGATGATGCGTTCCAGTGACGATCAGCGCCAGATGAGACGACCGAATGGTGCCTTGTTTGTTGATGGACTAAGTTCTTTCGAGGCCGGAGAAGGTGGCCACATCCATTGCCTCTCGCCACTGAAGTGAGCAGGTCCAAGGACGCTGTCCGCAACTCTCTGTTGGAGATGATGCGTTTCAGTGACGATTGAGCGCCAGATGAAGAACCGGCAAACTCCGATCAATTCACATTATGTAGTTCGGTCCGTGGCGTACGGATCCAAACATTTTGGTCACGAGTTCAAACTATACATTTGTCGGAAAGTCCCGTATACTAAACCTAACTCCGTCCCCAGTGGGTGATGCGACCGGTCATGTGCCAGAAAAAAAAAGAAATTCGTAAAAAAAAATCCGTTTCGGAACTAGCTGAAGGTATCCAGGTGCACTGAAATTTATCTAAGTCAAATTTGAATTGAGCTTGACGCCGAGCATTTCTGACTGAAATAATATCGTCAGTTTAGATATGTATCAAGGATCGGGAAACGCATACAGTACATGAATTTTAGGTAACAAACAATGAGTAAAAGAACTTTCGCCTCAGTCTCAAAAAAGAGTTCTGAGGGAGAGGAGTCGAAAAATTCATCCTCTCTATACGTGACCATTGCTCAGTGGCAAGGCCATCGAGTAGAGGGTTCCAAAAACTCAAGCCTTTATACGCGGCCATCACTGAGCGGCGAGGTCATCGAGTAAAGGAGAACTGCAAGGAATGTTAGCAGCATTGCCGAGAGGGGAGCTATTCTTGGCATCACAGGGGGTCGAGGGCTTAGGACGGGAGATTTGTTGGAATGATGCGGTGAAGAGGGCGGATAGAGTTTGCCATGGGACGTAATGCTCCATAAACTGTGCCACGGAAGGGGACTTGAGAAGAGTGGGGAGGAAAGTAAGGATGACGGTGATTGAGAATTGGAGATTGCTGGAAGGAAGGGTTAATAGGCATGTACGGGTTTTTAGAAAGAATATAATCGAGAACCGTGAAAGTAACCTCGAATGCAAGAGATAGGACGAATTGGGCTTGCTTCTCTGCAGGATCTTCCTCCGCTGGGTCCGTGGAGAGGGCTTGCATGGGTGCAGAGAGATGTGAATGGTCCTGATCCGCATCAATAGCGGATGACATCGCATCGGCCACCTTGTCCTCCTCTACCTGCTCTGCCCATGAAGAGACGGTAATGGATATGGGATCATTCGCATCAGCACGAGGTGAGGGGTCAGTGTTCCCCACGCCCTGGGAGGATGGTCGATTTGCATTGCTGGCAACCTGGCCATTTTGGGAATGGGACTTCTCTCCACCGGCTAAACTACCCGCTTTGCGTACTTTGGCGTCCAGCCTCCCGAACTCGAATATACTCCCGACACCCAGAATAGCCATCGTGATCCATTCGTGCTCCGCCACAGCGAACTCGTCGAGTTCCAGACGCTCGATGAACCGGCTGAGGTTGGGATGAACTTGGTCCAGATCAATTCGCGTGAAGAGCAAGCCGATGACATGGAGGAAGAGTACTGTAGCGGGCGAAGTAGGAGACGATAGGTTTTGTTGCATCGAAGGCGAGAAGAACTCGAGCATGGTGTCACGGCCCGTATCGAATGGATGGTTAGCAATCAAGCCGAAACCCCATTTTATCAATCCTCGTATCCTTGAACAAAACACAGCAGGATAACGAAACCCACCTCTTCACGAAATGGTACACTGTCCTAAGCTCATCGCCCTTTACGTTCTGACTGAGCATCCCAATGTGATGGTGCAATCTACCCACACCGAGGGTATCCTTCGGGTCCATCGCGTATCATTCTCTGGCCGTACGCCTCCAAGTATCACGCTCGTCCTCGTCACCCCACTCGGCGGCAGCGCGGACACCCACGGAGGGAATCGGTGAGTCGCCTCCAAATTGCGCTCTTCAAGAAGAGAGGTGTAAAGGTGGTAGGCGTAATAGATGAAAGATGTGAGGTGCTCGAGGGCGCACGGGGAGGTGAAAGATGCTCGGCGGAGAACGACGATGAGACAGAGACCTCAGCCGAGTGGGGATGTTGTACTTGTCAGGGTTGGATTGCATAAAAGCGGGGACGTTAGTATTAGTAGTGAGCAGCAATACATTATGGTGCGACTCAGTGAGTCTAGATGGTACATCGGTGGCGATACTCGAGCATGAAGGAGGATAAAATCAAACGTTAGAATGTTGATAAGTGTGAAATAAAAAACGAACGACAGTACGCAATCATGACACGGCAGACATCAGATCTGGTGGTAAAGTGTGTATGGAGATTGTCGTTTTTCGAGAGCATTCTTCAGCCATGTCCTTCCTGGGCATGCTTCGTGGAGGTCTATCTATGGCTTTGACATAATCGTGGATCATAGGGGCCACGCCAGCGAATAGGGGCGTTGAAGTAATAGCCTTTGCCCATTTGGAACTACCAAGCTCAGATTGTTTTATCAGGATATCAGCCGTGCGTACAAGATCCTTAATGAATTCGGAAATTTTTTCTTTCTGGCCGATCGTCTGATAATCAAACCATGATGGGTCGGTCGGAAATGGTCAAGAGGTCGAGTGTTTTTGCAGTGTGGGCAGCTCATGTTGCGTGAGTTGTATAGTGTTTATTTCCAAGGGACGCATAGTATAGTACAGAAATTGGCAGAGGCAAAGTCGAGGAATAAACAATATTTTTTTGGGAGGCAGTACACTCACGTGTTCTGGCACATGACATATGAGAAGGGTGTTTTTTGGAACGATTTTGATGCTGTGGGAAGGATTTATGACCTATTTATTAAGTTATTAAAAACATATTCAGAGCATTTCAGTGGTATAAAAAGGTCAACTTTTGGCGTTTTAAATGTCAAGTCTCGTGTTTTTGATTGATTTCGCGATTTCCGACAATTTTCTACCGCTGAATTTTGTCCGCGCCGTCACGTCGACCCAACCCAAATCTGAGGTGCGCGAGACGAATCCGAGGCAAAGGCAAAGTTTGCAGGAATCTGATATCTTCACACAGCACTGAGGCCGACTGGCTTTGATCTCACGTAAGCGTGGGAGCCAGCCACAATCGGACGACTGTCCCCCCTCACATTCTCACTGCGCTGATCGCTCTTGAATGGTCTGAGTATTATCAATTGAAGGAAAGCGGAATGAGGTGCCTGATGCTCTCACCTCGCAATTTCGCCCGTGCCAGGGTCTGTTATAATCGTGGCATTGCGGCATTGCAGCTGGACACTCTGAGCACCATCAGATATCGTGCTCTCAGCTCACACATTGCGCTTATATACATCTCTGAGTGGCACAAAGAGACAAAGCACCAGCAGCAATGGAACTTTAGCTTTGTCTCAATGGTGGCAACATATTGTTGACTAGCCAGCCAGCCATTGGCACAATGGGCATCGGGATGCCATATTAACAGGGCCCTGGTCCCAAAGTTAGTGATTCAATTTTTACACCCCTTACTGAAAGAGCTGGGCGAGCCAGAAATAAATCTTCCCGCCCCCTGGCCAGACAAGCACACTGAAAGCCTTGGTCAACGGAGTGCCATCCTTGTAGAGTGAGCTTTGTGCTCGGATGTGCCCTCGAGCGTACTACCCCACGCACCTACACATCAGCTCTCACTTCTAACATCGCCTTCTGTAGCCTTTTTACACTGTGTTCATATGCCACGGTGTCAATCAAGCCTACTTCTGTTCGATCTTACTTTTCAGGGATTTTCGCAGAGCTGGAACCTTGGCCAGAGCGGTCCAGGACAACGACAAACTCCTGGCTGCGGAGGGGATAAAAAGAGATACCTCCTGCTGCTCCCAATATGGATTGCATAGAGACCGAGGCAGTGGTAAATGAGTCCGAACCTGTAGTTGACCAACATATTGAACGAAGTCGGCATCTCATTGGGTGGCAGAGCAACTCGTTGCACCATCGGTGCAAACCCTAATTCACTGGCAGGCATCCGGAAGGCCAATATATTGGACTCGACGCTGACATCACCGATTCTGGGAGGGGTCATGCAAAGCATCGAAGAATCGAGATCGGGGAATTGACGGTTCACGTTGGCTCATGGTTGTTGAGGAACGATGGTGAGGATGGAGGATCTAGACCTCCTCTTTGTCGTCTCCAGGCATAGGGAAGCCATTATCAACATAGGTCTTTACAAAGGGACGAGTGTACTATAGGCGCCCACAATGGAAACGTCGCAGCAGAGGGAGAGCAGGCCAGCACAGACGATGAGGTTGCAGAGTGGCACACAGCTGGAACCATAAGGACAAGTGGGGATTGTTAAAATCGCGGCATTGCAGCCAGGCACACTGAATACGATATCACAGTATCATTGGATATCGCACTCAGCTCACTTATACTTATATACATTTCTGTGTGGCGCAAATGAACAAAGGCTAAAGCATTAGGAGAACGAAACTTCCCACAATAACCGTAACAACAAGGACATCGGAATGCCACTTCAACAGGGATTGTAGGCAAGAAGAGCCCAGGCTGTTAAAGGGCCGATATGATCCCAGTTACTGGCCTCGGCTCCTTCCGCGTAACCACAAGTCAACATCGTACCACATCGTGAAATAAGCATCAATGTCTCAACAAGCTGTTACGTCATTTTCGGGTGAGTCAAAAATCAAAAGGCTTCTTCTGGCTTTCATGCTAATTGCGTCAACACTCTAAGGCCATGTTTGGTGGAAAGGAGACAAAGAATACAACTACCACCTCAACGATGTGTAAGCTGTTCCTTCACGATGTGTGGGAGGACGCAGTTGAGACTTTGTCAGTGTGTACTGGATGGATGACGCTCGATTACCGAGAGGGGATGCGTATTTTGAGAGGACGTTGATGACGCATGGAGGCAAGGGAAAGATAGTGGAGATAAGGCCTCCATCAGAATCTGTGAGTGCCCCAAGTTGAATGGGTTGCCTGAGGCTGACGCTGATGCCACTCCTTTAGGATGACCAAGTAAGGGCTATTATACATTTTGCTGTAGCTAGCTCACACCATCGTCAGGTAGTGAGATTGCAAGTGTACTGGGATGCCAGTATCCCAGCAGCTGCCAACGGGATTCCGGAGGAACTCCATGAGGAGCTTCTGTACGTCTTAAGGTACAGAGCCCAGAACCAAAAGTGACCAATTTCGCAGTTCCCATGAAACATACCCCCATGAATTAATTCGTCTCAACGATGTCTTTCTTTCTTGTGTATCGAGAGATATCAAACGTGAGCATCCATATTTCTATCTACACACTGTATTGATCCTGTGAATAGATTCATGTCCGGTGGTGGAATCCATCTTTGATGAAGACGCCTTCACCGAAGCGAAGCGTGGGGATTTTGTGCCAGCTTATTATGAGGACTGGTTTTTAATGTAAGGCACATCTCATAGCGAACTAAAGAGCCCAAATTAATTTAGTACTAGCCGGTTCTTCCAAGGTGGGCCCCAAGGGTTCCAGGTGAGTATGCAATTTCTATGTTCAAGTTATTTATCATTGACCGCTTGCTTAGCCCATTAAGAGGCTATGTGATGACTCAGAGTGTGAACGCCCATGGGACCCCCTCAGCCAGCCACTGAGGTTTTGTTGCCAGGAGGTACCCCATTGGTTCGCCGTGACCAACAGCCCTCACTGCCAGCCAACCACAGCCTCCTACACCCTAAAGGAGGTCCTTCAGTCCATTCTCCGGGAAGATGGGGAATTGTATCAGCACTTGGACTTTGGCAAATATCCTAACGTGCTCAAGGTAGCCAGGGCTGCTTGCAGCGACCTTGTGCTCTTTGGTCCTTCCTCTGGGAGGTGGGATCTGGAGAAGGAACTCCAAGCCTTTCATGGCAGGAAGGGTTGGATTCTGGCTGCGGCTGATGAGCTTCGGGCGCTTGCCTCTGAGGCCGAGGATCTGGAGAGCGCAGCCGGCGACTTCATAAGTCCGGAGGTTGAAACGTTTTTGCGGGAGGGAATTGAGCATGAGGGGGCCTACAACAAGTACCGGTGCGGTTCAGGGGGTTGTGGCAGGTTGTTTTGACCACCTCTCTTTTCTCATCCTCCACAAGCTCACCTTCTTCTCTGTACCGTCAACCTCTATAACCTCTTTCGCTGGTCCTCAGTCTACTTTTCCATACAATATAATTATACATATTTCGATACAGTGGAATTATATATATTAGAGTTCGCACCCACAGCTATCCCCCATTCCTCGATGAATGATGACCACAGCACTGACAGCCACAGTGATCTGGGCAGGTTGCCAGCACAAATTGCCCATCTCAGTGACCGCAGGGTTTGCCGCATTCTCTCAGCTCACCGGCAAGGGATCCCCCTTTGAGAAAGTTGGCAACCATGGGCATAGTCGCAAACTTAACTGGGATCTGGATGTGAGTATGATAGATTCCAGCACTGAACCCATCAAGTAGCTTATCCAAGACCATATGGAGCTCAAGCTTATCTTTGCCTCCATGAAATACAGCAGGTATTGGAAAATACAGTGGTGTTTCAGTCTCCACGAGGTTTCACGTACATCAGCAAGTACTGTTTTTGGGGTGTTTCCAGGAGAGGGTGCAGGGCTAATCCATGATACGGTCGTCATTCTAGTGGGCGCGCTTGTCTTTGTTGAGAACACACATGATCTACTGTATTGAAAGATAAAAATACGAGAAAGTGGATCATTTTCGGGTGGTTTTTTCTTTACAAATAGAGTCAATACCTGATCGGACAGAAATTTTAGAAAAGGCTGTATTGTAGATCTCAGTAATGTCCGTATGGCTGTAAGTGACATGGTGGGTACGGTCGTCACCGAGGAGTGACAGTTCTGTTACAGAGGCGTGACAGGTGGAAGTGTCACAGAGACGTGACCACAAGCATCACGCTACATCCGAGGTCCTGTTTCGCTTTTCTATAGTACTATTTTCTTCGTAATATGCCAATATGACAAGGACCTCTTCGGCTTTAATTCCGACTATAAGCTGAAATCAATAGGGCGAGTAACCTGTCTTGATCACAGTTCGGACTAGGCCGAATGCAAAGTGTGTCGGTTTTGGACGAGTCCAACATGTGAGTCCGTTAAGTCCATCGGTGTTACGCTAGCCGTAACACTAACTGCAATCAGATTTTAAGAGTGTGATCATAAGATCCAGTTCCAAACATGGAAGACTGGCCTAAGTATCAGGATGAGGATGAACGTGAGGATGCACGGAATCCTCGATGCTGGGAAAAAGCTTAGATTCTCATTCATCGAGGCAATCCCTCAGCACATCATTCTGTAAGGTAGAAAATGACCTTTACCATCTAATCGGTTCCGGCCAGGAGATAGTGGAGACGGCCCATTTTTGCCAAAATGGGCCGGCAGGAAGTGCAATTGCAGAAAGAAAAATGGAGCATACAACGGCCAAGGGCAAGCCGCAACAGATAACCATAACATAGGATGGAGGTGGGAGGATGGTGGTGAAAGAAGATTTATGATTTGCCCATGACCATTGACGTTGTGTTCAGCAAGTAATCTCCCGGACGTGCAGAACTATATGTCAGACAGGTGTCAAGGACGATGGTGTTGAGAGATGCCAAGGGTTTGGTGTTGATATGGCTGCAATCAAAAGCTGATACGAAAGCGGTGAAGCGGAGCATTTGAAAACGGGAGCTCAGCATCAACAACATCCGGCCACCACAACGCCCCTGAACATATCAGCGTCCTTGTACCGATAACTCCACAGACCCGAGCAGTGCATGATCCAGATGATAGCACTAATATCACCGCAGCTCTTGGACTGCAGGCAAGTTGCAGGGTATAGCCATAGATGCATTCGTAAAAGTATAGTTGTCTCCCCATCTTCCTTGGCACCCTTGTGATCAGATGGGAGATCCCTGGTGCGCTGGCACGAGTTTCTCAGCATGCGCAGGCGTAAATATCGAGTGTGTTGCCAGAAAAGCGCATGAGGACGCGGAGGATATGTGCGGAATATTCAAGAATGTGTGGGCTACATGTTTCAGATGGGATGCCTGCTAGGGATGGTAGAATCGCAAGGATCGGCTCGTTTGTGGTGCACCGGCAAATCCCCATTACAATGTTGGGGATGAGGATAAAGGAGAGCGCCCAGAAATCGTGGGTGTGAACCTGAGGAGCTGTGAACATGGAGACATAAGCGGAGTGAGTGCAAGTGCGCGTTTCAAGGTGGGCACGCGCATGCGAACTTCGAGAGAGAATGGCCAAATCAACACAAGCGCACATCTGAGAGTCGCACACATGTGGATTACACACGGGAAAGGTTCCTCGAGGTAGAATCTCACCCAAGCGCATAAACCAGAAGGCCATGCAAGAGGGGAATCTAGGCCCTGAAAAGCTAGCTTCTAGGCTGTGTGCTTTGCGCTCATGAATTCGAATTGAGTTCGGTTTAATCAACGCAGGTGTGCATATTGTAGCGCGCATGTCGGTTGCGTGGGGAAAGGTCTTTCCAACCCAAGGTCAACACCTTCCATGCTCAACAATTCGGCAGAAAGAATTCGCGTCCCCAATGTGGGGCGTCAAGTGAGAAAAAAAAGTCGATCATAAACTCTTGCGATAATGGAGAAGTCAGTAGAGCACCTCGAAGTGCAGTCTGAACGATGACGGTGGCAGCATCTCGATCTTGCCACTATATCAGATGGTGTGACGTGTTAAATGTATGACGCATCAGTTGACACTGTTGTCTTGTTAAACGATGAGAGTGATGCATTGGACAGTATTATGTAATGGTGGACGCGATGACTCGGGAAGAGGCGGAGAGAGGTATGAACACCGACCCACAACTGACGACACACTGGCATCTGTGCACGTAACAGTGCGACTCAAATCATGGTAAATCTCAGTGAAGTTTTCGGAATCTTCTTCAGGTAACCAGTAAAGATGTTCTGGGGGTGTCCCATATTAGAGTAACTAGTAGCATATAAGCGCTCAGGTCCAAATTTGTGAACTGAGAAGAAAAAAAAAATTGTGCGAGGTGGCTTTTTAAGCCATTCTCGACTGTGTTCATCAACATTCGTACCAAAAGTGGAAGCATCGGGCAATCCTTCAAGGAAATATATGTCCATGCGCAAGAAGTACTAGTCCACATAGGACTCAATGGGCAGTCCATGGCGTACGAAAACTTCAACATCCTTCCCTTTTCCCTTCTGAATCAACAACAGGCGCTCTGCAAGTATGAAGGTGGGCCTGTATTAAACATCAATACAACAAAAGTACAACATGATGACGATGAATAAATATCCCATATCAGATTACATTTTTCTCTGCCTTGGGAGCCCACGAAATGTTCTTATCCAATCGACTGGGTAGAAGGGACATCTCAAAATGGTCCTGAACCCAGTTCTGTGGCTTGAAAGGCATAGTGTTGGGGTACAAGAAGATGGGAGGGATAGGTGATGTCTTCTCGTCAGGGCAAAGAGTAAGTCTTACTCTCTGCCTGCAGGCTTCACATACGATCTCACAGTACATGTGGTGCCTAAAACTGGTTGGTTTGCCGGTCACCCTCCCCCATCTCTCCCACATCCACTGGCTATCCCCACAGCATGGATCAAGAAAACAAGTCAGGTAGAGTGGGAGGAGCCTTGACATCACAGTATCGCACTCCGTGTCTGGAGTTTCCCATGGGAGCCAAATAAGGGAGGTGACGTGCAATTCGGTGTCCTTCAGAATTGTCAGGACAACGGAATGCCTCCCCTTGATCGCTTCTTGGCCCCTGAATGCTATCAGTCTTGCTGCAACAGGATCTCCACTCTCAAAGGACTCCATAGCAAATGACACGATTGATGTGGCAAGAAGATAGGGGGGGATGCTCTGAGAGGCGACGTGAAGGATGGAATTGAAACGAGAGCTGTTGGGAATCAAGTTGAGTGCAAAATATCCATGCTTTTGAAGGACATACCTTTTTACTGGCTTTGTGTCTGGCTGTATGTGACACCAGCATAGTGATACCACTGATTCTAGAAAGACACCCATGACAGATGTTTTGAGGGCATTGGGTGATAGCTGCATAATCTCTTCATTACGGAACAGTACAAAGAATAAATCACCTGCTCACCAGGAGAGAGTTCAGCTTATCGACTGCCCGGAGGGCTTCCAAGATCTTGTATCTGTGAAATATGGCGACACACAAGATGGCATCATCACCATCTCTTGTCTGGTGGTTGCCAATGATCTCTTTAATCTGCTTCAGAGTCTCAGGACCATCTGATTCGTTCAAGTTTTTGATCTGGGATCTTGAGTCAAGCATGGATGCAACATATTAGACTGGGTACGCACCAAGAGACTGTCGGGACAACTGTGGAAACGGTGCTTGAGGGCAGAGAGTATGTAATTGAGGAGTGGATCCCGGTTTCCCAGTTGGCAGGAGTAAAGGAAAACCATGAGCGCTGTGCTCTGTGGTATGATAAGGGGCACGGTTACAAAATACTTGACCTGCTCAAGTTCATCAGCGCATGTGATCTAAAGCAAAACATACATAACCCACCAGGGGCTGCTGGCCTCTCATTTTCTGGCAGCGTTGGCAATAATATGGCGTTGCTAGCTGGTCTAAACTGTGCTTGGCCACGCATCCGGTGCAGTGGGGCTTGCCATCGGCATTTATCTGGATGGCTCCAATGCACTGTTTCACATTGCAAGTTGGGCAATCCACACACTCTCCCACTGCAGGGCAGGAAGAGCAGGTTGCATGACTGGCCGAATAGTTGGCACTAAGTGGCTCAGATGACATTGCTAGTCTTCTCCAGAAATATAACAATGACACACTCTAGTGTGTGAATTCTGGATATTAACGGAATGACCGCCGGATAACTAAACCAGTCTCACTGTACGTGGGAGAACTGATGATATTACTTACCTAAACCAACTAACTGTAAGGTAAAATGAATAACAAGATATAAGGAAATAACTAACCTCAGTCTCACTATAGGTGCAAGAACGGAAAGGGGAAACTAATAAATGTAGTTTGTGGCCTTTGCAGATAAGTCCGAAGAAAGAAGAAAGAAAGTGTGGAACAAGTCACATGACTCGATATGAGGTACAAAGCAGAACGGTCATCTTGGTACAAAGTGCACAGCGACAGAGGCCGGAAAAGGAGCTTACCAACAAAAGAAGGCTGCCGAAAAGGAGAATGCAAATGTTACTGAGGAGTTTGAGTAAAAGGCTCTATGTGCGGTGGATACTGCACTGGTCACCGACAGAGACACAGACGGACCGAAACCTTGGATTGTGGACTCAGGGTGCAGTAACCATTTTTGCCCAAACAAGAGTGACTTCGTGGAATACACACCTTTCGACCCCCCACACCAGATTGCCTTGGGAAATGATAGCCACATTCCCTCTTTCGGAAAAGGGACTGTCTTGATTACCTGCGTTGCCGGAGGGAAACATGTCACCTGTCGAATCCAGAACGTGCAGTACGTACCCAGTCTCAAGTACGGCCTCCTTTCTTGTAGGGTCCTCACCTGTCGAGACGCCCAAATCACTTTTGGCTGGGACGACGTCTGCAGAATTGAAAAGAATAGGAAACTGATCGCTAAAACGCTAAAAGAATTCGCACCGATGTTCTATCTCAACCATCCGTCCTCACAGCTCATATCTACCACATCCGAGAGAGCAAGCCCAGCCGCAATAGCCACCACGCGCTCATTCGACCTCCTGCACAAACACCGTGGGAAGAAGTGAGGCATGTCATCTGACTGGGAAAAGCCGAATGAATTTCCAGCGCTGTTGAGAACCGGATTCCTCCGTGTCAGGTAGCGTTCGTACCAGTTGCAACAATGCCAGCCATCACACCCAGAAGGAACCAGAATCCACCGAAGAGGAGTCCCGTAGCGGGGAAATCGGATGGTGTGGCTGGTGAGTACAAGCTCTGCTACATGTAACGATTCGACCGACTTAAGTGAAAAAACTCTAGCCAGTGTGCAGCCAGTAGGCACCTCTCTCCTCAAGGAGGGGGTTACCATCGTGGATAGAGGGCCTGGAAAAGCCCCCAGTAAGTCTCCTTTTTCATGAGTCCTTCTCTGAGCTCATTCATCATGACTAGCGATGCGCCGCAGCAGACCCAAGGGGTATTCCAAGCCCCATAAAAGAAAGCCAGCTCCCAAGAAGTAGCCTATTGGCGCTCTGTGGAGTTCACCATACAATGTAATTATTGGTCTCTGGTATGGTACCATTACTGATCAGCTAGCGTAGAAAGCATGTAGTCATATACAAGATCTCTCTAATCTATACTGATGGACCCATGTGGTGCTATGAGTGGGTATATATGTGTGCATGTTCGCCACTGGCCACTCAGCTTGATGCATGGTTGCAACTTTCCGCTGCATATTTTGGGATTTAATCAAAGCATGAGATTAAAGGGGACTTGTGCGCTACCAGATCTGGTACTCCCCTTTCCCACTCTATTGCGTGACCATCACACGGATTCGTGTATTGCCTCTATGGGCCTTGAAAATTTTGCGATTTATCAATGCATTTAAACATTATGCGATTTTGACCTTAAATCGTCACATGACTATTAACTCCTTCGGTGGCTATACAAGATTGAGAATCGTTCTGAACGGCCCCGGCCGTGTCCCTAAAGACTTCAGTAAGCCTTTCGGTGGGTGGGATCCCAATTGCTTACCTATTCGTTTCGGTTTTCCTTGTTTCCTTTACTTCCTTGTTTCTTGTTTCTCTCCTTGTTTCTTGCTTCTCTCCTTGTGTCCTCGCTATCCTTGTTTTCAGTGTTACTCTCCTCTTGCTCTGTATTTACCAGGTTGTCTGCAATGTTCAGAGGTTCCGGCACTCGCTGGGGTTCTACTCTGTAGCCTCTCCACCTGTTGGCACACAAGTCTTGCTCAACTCCATTCTATTCACAATTTATTTTTAAAATAAAAAACTATGAGGTACAATTGATTGCAAGTGAGGAAGGAGGATGAACATGCTTAGGCGACGAGGATGGAGGGAGCTGCCAGATGTGAGACGAGGAGAAGGGTGGTGAGAATGAAAATTCAATTCCGTTTTCTTCTTTTCCTGGAGCCTGGATCGCCATCTGCAAGCTTCCTTTTGGATGTTGTCCGTAAGGGTTCAGGCTGCGAGCAGGGATACATCTGCCTGAACCTCCTATACTTATATTTCCCATAGGGCCTTCCTATGTCCATAGGTCTAGGGATGCGTTCACGGGTGAATACGCGCCGATCAGAAAACAAAGCAAAGACCATTCTCCCTTCCCCTTCCCATGACGTTGCATCATGCACAATCCCAGCACCTCGAAGGAAAAGGAGATCACCAGGGTTGGAAGGTAGGGCATATCCCAAGTCAGGGAACTCCCACAGGCCACCCTCATATCTTCCGAATGGTGCCACAGCATCGAATCCACACCAGCATGAAGCCGAGTCACGGTGGAATTCAGTGTCCGCATTGAACCGAATGGCCTGACCAAAGAAATGGGACTTAATCTGACTAAGGTAACCTTTTCTTCGATCGCGCTTCTTCCTGATCTTGATCCAAACTTCATGGCTGCGTCTTGCAAAGTTGGGAGCAAGCCGCTCGGTGTACATGTTCAGAATGTGGTAGAATGATTCACAGCGATTTTGGAACCTCTTGTGCTTCTCCACCTGATCCTTGGCATCTGAACTCACAACAGGACGCAAGTGCTGGAGGTGGTCAGCTATCATGAGATAATAATATAATAATATCTATGGACTTACCATTTGTCCTATTGGATGCCAGTAGGCATAGTGTATTTGGCCTGACTTGAACAGGTCCTGGGGGATGTGGTCCTTGGTATTTATGCGGAACTTGGGCCGGGGGAACTTGAACTCGTGGCTTAGGTCATGACCTGCTTCGACAATGTCATTCTGAGGCAATGGGTTAAACTTGACCAGCTGGAGTGGAAGGAAGTAATGTAACACACATGAATTTCTTGAAACACCGCTGGTAACCTTATCGCCACGAGAACACCATTTTTGTCTTCAATGGCTGCTCCCCCAGGGTGGTTCAAGATGATCTTTTGGCCAGGGTTGATTGGGGGAAGTTTGAGTGGCTTCAAATTATCTTGTGTCCCGTTTTTCATCTTTGCCTTGTCGTTGTGGATCGCTACAGACTGGTAATCAAAATCTAATTTCACTGAAGAAGAATCAGCAACCTCCTCCAGCCTGAACAATTGGTTATTTCCTACCTGTGTTCTTCAATGCCTCCTGTATGATACCGTCCATCCTCTGCCGGGCATGATGGACAGCAGATCGAGTATGTGGGTCAGTTACACCCTCCAGGCGTTCATCCACCGTCATACTCAAAAGACATTTCAATGTGGGGAATAGGAAATAAACAATAAGTCTTACAAGTCCGCTGGCATTCGAAAATCAGCTTTAGTGTTACTCATTCTGAGTCGTGTGTCGATGGAAAAAAAAAAAAAAAGGAAGATAATCACGTGATCATATCATGTTTGTGTGCTTCATACCTAACTCACGCAGGATACATTCATACCTGCATAGGACAACCGTTCATGAACTACCATACAATGAAAATAGAATATACACCAGGCAAGGGAATGGTAGCTCAAGCCTGGGTAGCAGGAAGAAAGGACGGGCCTTCAATTAAGGTAGTAGTCGCAAGAGTATCGCCTATGCAATGTTATTCATCTAGCGGGGCGTATCTAAACATCCAAGTACCATACAAGGGAATAATAGACGGACAAGGATCGGAAATTACTCGCTCAAAACGAGGGGAAGAAGATAAAATCCCAGCTGTGCCTAGAACAGGCAACCTGTTATATGAGTCACTTGGTTTGGCGGGAACAGAATCCAAACTAATCACGCCAGTCAATGACTTGATAAATCCAGAAATAATAAAGAGTGGAGGGAATACAGAATATCTTGGAGTGTTACAACAAGTATGGGATTTAACGGGATTAGAACCAGTATGGGGATTTGAATATTTTATTCATTGGCTATTAGAAACACGAGGTTTAACAGCAACTGAGGCTGGAGAAGCTGCCAATGATATAGCGAGGGAGGTACAAGCAGCTAAGTACAAACGGGTAGATCAGAAAAAGAAGCCTGTCTCTGTTGGGGATCCAACCGCTCCAATTCCCCAATATAAAGAAATTGTGATCGACTACATCAAGCCAATACCATTTTCGCCAATATCGGCGGAGAACTTTAATTACACCGAAAAGTTTACGCCCGAACGAGTCCAGGCTATGATAGACACTATACCTAAAGAGTTTCTCCGAACCGCGGAGGTTGATCTTTTGGTTTATATAGTAGGCAGGCACCCGAATGCCTTTGCCTATTCTAGTAAAGAACGAGGAGTGTTTAGTAGAGAATATTTTCCTGATTATGTGATACGTACAGTTAAGCATGATCCATGGCAGGAGAAACCAATCAGATTCCCGTTGGCAATGGAGGGAAAAATAGTAGATTTAATAAAAGAACGTCAAGAAGGAAATGTATATGAGCCGTCGCAGTCAGCATACCGATCAAGAATATTCGTAGTAGAAAAGAAAGATAACACTTATAGACT